AGAAAAGATCAATTTGTAAAGTTAACGAACATTTAAAGGATGCAGACTAATTATGTTACTCAAAATGTAATTGTGTAATGATCCAAAATAGGATTTATATTTCTTTAACATTTTTATTATTAAATATATTACAAATCCCTGCGTCTGCAGCAAGAAAATTTTTGATAGGAATTGTATCTGCTGTTCGATAATGCGCTGGCGGTGGAGGACAAGTACACATACATTTAAGGAAATAGAGAAAAATGTTTAAAAGTTATGTTAAATTCGCAAACGCGTGTGGTAATCGAACCCACGACCTCTGAAGCCAATATCTTGTTAACTGTGCTGCGGAGTCATGACCCGTCATTTTTGCTATTATAGGTTTCGAGTAATTTAGCCGAAATGTTTCAACTTAAATAACAATATTTTTGATGAAGCGATATTTTATACGTGTCCTTTAAAGCCAATTGTTGCCTTGGACGTGCACCCTACATCGCTTGCTACATTGATTTCTGATCCATTTTACCTAAAGATTATTGTTGCAGACTCTTTTTACAGCTTGTTGAATATTTGATTGCGTGTAAAATTAAAGTAAAAAACGATTTATTACATCATTATTAAAAATAAATAAATAAAGTCGCCTTTACTAACTACTAACGTTTATATTTACATTTTTTGATGACTCTTTCTATATTACTATACAGATATATATATTTACAAAGTAATTTAAACCAAAATCCCTCTAGGTGGGTCCTCATCATCATACATCATTATTATTGTTAGTTAAAAGATTAGGTTGAAGGAGAAAATACATTTCACAGAAGCTGTTAGAAGGGCAGTTTGATGGTGGGTAATAAAGCCGACCTATTTTTCGGGCCGAGTGAACGGTGCTTAATTGAGATTTATGCATAGATAAATATTCCTCCGGCATAAATGCGCAAGCACGTACGAATGACCTAATAACGAAGATCAGAGTATATATAATATATATATAAACGCATTTCAGACTTATATTAAAATGTTTTCTTTCTGATAATGTTTCTTTGTAAAAATACATCATTTTTTTGGCGCTTTTCACCACTTTTTGTATTACACATTACCCCACCGCCCCCCCTTTTTTCGTAAAATATTATGTTGAACGATATCATTTTTTTTAATAATATTTTTTATTTTTTCTGTAATATCTCGTATAAATATCATTATCATGCGCTCCTAATAATGACATTTATAGGCAAAATTTTGATTTATTTCTTAAATCACTGTTTTGCTGTTACAACTTTAAAAAATTCTTTATTCGAGCACTCTTATTTGTCTTCAAATATACGGTTAACAGTTGTATCAGAATGTGTTCAGATGTATATACACTTCCATTGTAGGACATATTGTCCATTGACTTTTATTAAAAAAAATTAAGTCGTTGCTTCCTTCACTGAATTTGCCAATGTCAAAATAATGTCTAAATTTAAGAGTGTCTATTTATACATTTAGTTTTATTTTTAAAACTGCGAAATATTTATAAAACTTTACAAAAGTGATTTAACATTCACATAATGTGCGAGGCATTCCCTTATTTTTCGATGTATTTATGTTTTATCCCATTGCGCATGGGATTGCTATTAATATCTATACAGAGCATCGTAAGTAAAAGTCAAAATAAAAGTTTAAATTGTTCCGATTAACGTTGTATTAAACTTCTAAAATTAGACTTATAAATAGATCTAGCCACTAGGAAGGAACTTTCTTTACTGGCGCTGATTTGTCAGCGTCTCGATATTCTATTGGTAATTACAAAGAGCAGACAGGAATGGACGAATTTTATCATCAGACGACTAGGCTCTTATTGTTAGGCCTTTCGTTCACATCGCGTCGACATTTCACACATTTTTATGTAACGTGTCAAGCGAGCTGGCGGTTCACCTGATGTTAACTGATAACCGCCGCCCATGGACATTCGCAACGCCCCCAAGTGGGCCCTAGCTACCTCACTCGCCAGGCGAAACGCAGAAGTATAACACTTCCACTACTTTTTGTGCAACAATCAAAGCTGTTAAAAGATACTAACCCAGTTAAAAGATTAAGAAACAGCTCGGCTTCCATATTGCATACAGCGAAGGTATGAAACAATCTGCCTGCATCCATCAACATACATACAATTGGTCGATATCAACCACCGATAATTGCGTCAATATATATCAGATGGTATAATAGTCCTCGATAAAGAGACCAAAAAAGTTGGTTTGTTAAAAGCTAAATTTTAACACCAGTCTTATTTTCTAACTGTCATAATAAAATCACACAGGATATTAGAATAATCTTGGGAAAGACCTGCAATTTGCCTAAGCAAAAAATACGGTGGTAGAGCCTCGCAGCAGCCTCGGCTGTTGCACGAATGGGCAGGCTCGTCCGGGTAAGTACCACGACCTCACAGAAGATCGGCGTAAAGTGGAAGTATGACAAATACTTTCGCGTTTCGTCTGGTGAGTGAGGTAGCCGGAGCCCAATTTCCAAAAAGGTTGTCAACGCATTTGCAAACCCTCTGGTGTAGCAGATGTCTATGGGCGGCGGTATTCACTTATCATCAGGTGAACCGTCTGCTCGTTTGACAACTTTTAACATAAAAAAAAAAAAACATAAAAAAAAAAAAAAAAAAAAAAAAATGCCGATTTAAATCATATCATTCTCACAATACACTTATAAGTTGTAACAAAAATACAACGTAGGATTGCGGTCGTAATTTCACGTATTTCGTATTTTAACTTTGCATGAAAGTGGCCAATGTAGAAGCCATGTTTTGAAACATGACTAATTTCTTTACAAATAAGTAACTCATTAGAATTGTAACGCCCGGTTTCTGAAACACTGATCATCGTAGAAATTAACTAATCAGCTGTCAAATGGCTTTTCAAATGTCATTTGAGTTGCCAAAATGATGGTTACGACGATCGGTGTTTCAGAAACCGGGCGTAAGAGTTGTAAATCACATTGACATTTCTTTTTATTATAACAGATGACGGGTGTGGCTGGCTTATCCCTGCTGGAGTTACAAACTGACATTAACTACTATAAACTAAGGAATTTTACACAGTCGGTTGGCAAGTATTCTATTGAAATTTTTACCGCGCTTCTATTAGTTTCGCTGACTTATAACTTTGAACGAGTATGTACGAATTTGATTGAAACATTCCATGTTCTCTTATATTAACAACGGATAATAAAGCACTAGTTCCGCATTGTTATCCCCATACTTTTAAAACAACTAACTTAAGACTTTTATAGCAGTTTATTTTTTCTTAAACTTCCGACGTTTCGAATACTTTACCAATATTGCACCTACTTACGCACGGGAGCAAAAAGTCAACTAAAGCGATAATTTTTACGAGAATATTTTGACCGCATGCTTATTAGTCGATTTTTTTGCTCACGAATGTATCCAATCTCCCAATATAACTTTTCTTAAACATCTGACGTTTCGAATACTTTACCAATATTGCACCTACTTACGCACGGGAGCAAAAAGTCAACTAAAGCGATCATTTTTACGAGAATATTTTGACCGCATGCTTATTAGTCGATCTTTTTGCTCACGAAAATATCCAATCTCCCAATATCATCAAAATGATCATTAGCTCATAAGTTTTAAGTTTTAAGTGATATACTCAACTGCCGCAAGTCATTTGACAAATTATAACAAGGCAATCAGTTTTTTAGACTGTTTCATCATTTATGGAAGGCCTAAACATATTCCCGAGAACTAATTATAGGAGTAAACTAATTATAAAATAACGAATAGGATTGCTAAACGGGTACTGAGTAACAGCCCAAACCGAGGTTCCCTCTCGGGTGCCCTTGAGCCTAGTTAATCCATGGAGCGTCCGCCAAAGCGACCTAAGAGCTTGGATGCCTCCGTAACCGTTATATAAATTATAATAGCGTAACGGCCCCAGCCGAGGCTCTCTCGAGGGCCCTCGAGCTTAGTCGAGGTACAGGTTAGGAGCCCTCAGCGCCCAATGCCCTCAGTGGTTGATCCAGCCAAATAAAAGCTGTTTTGACTTGCGAAATATTAGAAATCTAAACCATATCGCTATTGCCAGTCGATGTCAAGATGTGTGAAAATGACTCCTGCTCTGCACTTGCAAGTCCCCTGGCTCTAATTTAACACTTTTGTGTAATTCAAAGAAGTAAAAAGATAAGACCGCAGAGTTCCTTGCCGGTTCTTCTCTGGCAAGTCTTATTTAGCGAACCGGTGGTAGTTGTTGACGTTCAATACGAGCTTAAAATAAGCCTATGTTGAATATAGAAAACATTTTTACATAAATAAATCACCACGACAGTTTCCTTCGAATGCCAATTGACATTTGGATATTCTTCAAGTTGTTTCAGGTACGGATGAGCTGCTCACGAAACTCAACATGTCGATTATCACCACATACACGGTGATATGTTTCGTCTTCATGATAATGGGTACAGTGCTGTTTTTATCTACACTTTGGGTAATTCTTTTTATCGGACTATGGATACCTTACAGGGCTTAAAAGCAAAATCCTGAGCTCCACTGGCTCAAAGTAGATATCTCGTGATCTAAACAATTCAACTGTGGAAGGGCCATACAACACTCTTCTCTGTTGCACGAATGGGCAGGTTCTTCCGGACCACGACCTTATAGAATATCGGCGTGAAGTGGAAGTATTATACTTCTGCGAGGTAGCTGGTGCTCATTTTATTTAATGATGGCAAAGTATCTTCAACTCTACGACAACATCCATCTTGTAATACGATACGGTTATCTGCTATAAAGGATTTAACTATATACATGCAATTGCGAAGACTTGGGTTCAATTTCCGCAGCGGCTAAAAACTTTTCCTCCTTATTTCTACAGAATTTTAAGGCTTTTACTGAGCTTATTTGTTGACCGTCTACGGCTGCATCGCCACTTACTACCAGGCAATCCCTTATAATAATAAAAAAAAAAAATCTTCAAATGAACTATTCGTCTTAACTCACGCTTTCTTTTCTGATTCTAGGATGACGAGCCGCTCATTTCAACGTTTGTTTGGGCCACATTTATCAACGTGGTCTTCGGGTTCCTCGTCACTATCGCCTTGAGCGTAGATTGTTTACTCGGGAACTCCTGCTTGCTCAGCTCTATCGATTGGCTTTCGGGCGCGTTTATCGTCGTGCTGATGCTTTTGTGCTTCTCCTGTATGTGGAGTTATAGGGGCCATTTAAGTAATTTTTTTCAACCGAATTCAAAAAAGGAGGACGTCCTCGATTCGTTTGTATTTTTTTTATGTCCGTTACGTTAGGACTCCGTCATATAAGAACCGATTTTGAAAATTATTTTTACATTACGTTCGCTATGGCTACCGTGTAACGCCTATATATGTCCCACTGCTGGTCAAAGGCCTCCTTTGTACAGAAGGAATTACGACTTTGTCCACCAAGTGACCGCATTGCGTATTGGCTTGGACTTTAAACAATCCTGTTAGTGCAGTCACCGGGAATTTAACTTAGGCTGCTTAAACACATTAAATTAAAAGCGAGCGCCCGGACAAGACCTATCACGGCTCGTACCTATCACATCCATGTTCATTAATTTCATCGGTATTGGACCGCCGGAGATACATCGGGGAACTCCTCAAACTCTAAGAGAGTGATATATTTGAACTCAGTTTTGTATTTTATAAATGAAAATAGTTGTACTTGTTTTAAATTTCGAGCGATATACGTTTTACTTCACCCCCGTTGCGAGAGTAGATGAATGGTAAGGATGATGTATATGACAGTTACTAACGGAATTGATTAACGTATCTAATCCCACCGATATCCAAGAGAAGTTTTGTGTGTAGCTTAAAATGTAAGAATACTCATCGAAGCCATTATTGGAATGGTGTTTACGGGTAATATGCCTTCAAAAATTCCGCCAAATAAGGCTTACTTCCATTTCAGCATTGGTCATCATTTGACTTTATACGGAATAAAATTATATTCAAGTTTCGCTAAAAATAGCACAGGATGGCCGATTTTGGTACAATTTAATTCGTTTACCAGCGTTTTGTATGTTTAACAATATATACCCGTTTTCTTGCAGTATGGCTGTACAATGTTTGTATCGCACATAGCTATATAGAATACAAAAACGAATACGAATACTGAGAAGAGTTGATCAGTTCGTAATATATTCTCCTTTGAAAGAAGATTATATTTTCTGAAAGTTTTCTTGAAGTTTATTATTTTTTTACAACGGCTCCAATTTCATATCATCATCGTCATCATCATTTTAGCCTGTAAGCGTCCACTGCTGTGCTCAGAGGTGTTCCAGACCTCGTCTAGGGATTTATACTTCAATCGGTTAGAAGCGGCATCCAGCGAAATCCCGCTACCTTCGTCTGTTCATACCTCCTCAGCCCATCTCCTGACTGCCCCACGCGCTTTCTAACACGCGGTCTCCACTCGAGAACCTTGCTGTCCCATCGGCCGTCAAACCTGCCTGCTATGTGCCCTGCCCGTCACCACTTCAGCATGCAGGCCCGCTTGACTTTGTCGGTATCTTTCGTTCGTCTGCGGACCTGCTCATTCCTTATTCGATTTCGCAGAGAAACGAGCATAGGCCAATGCTCGCTAAGCGACGCAGTTTTTTCACAAATTCCTTATATGTCCATTGCGTAGGTTGAGCACACACTTTGAGTCTGACACACACAAGAGCTTTAGCAATTGCCTCTCATCAATTGATAACACAGTTGAGCACCAGACGAAAGTAACCTTGAAAAAAATCACAATAACATCTCTGCAAATGGTACTCAATAGCGCAGTTGCTAAGCTACTGGCTTTGGCTATGGCATGGGATCGATTCCCAAACACGACGAGTGATTGTTTGACCTGCAAAGAACAATTTTTCCGCATGTACCTCACCCAGGTGGGAAAAGGTCAGGAAAAAGAAGAAGGTATCGTGATCAGAAGGGAAGCACAAACTATCACTAACACTAAGTTAAAGATATTTTTTGTTACATACATTTTTTTGTACTAACAATCTGTGAATCAGTGAACTCTTAATTCCTTCGCTTTTACCGGCTTTTGCTGCACAACTAAAAAATTGCCAAACGCACTGCACACTACGATATAGTGTGCAGTGCGTTTGGCAATTTTTTTTAATTTAAGGCATTGACGTACTAATCATTTGCGCCAAAGAAAATCTTGCATATAAAGAGGTGCCTAAGTTGAAATTAAAGATTGCATTCGGAAGATCTTCAATGTTATGATTTAGTTCAGCATTTCTTAAACGAACAATTTTTTATACGTGAAGACCTCTGAAGTCCATGCGTTGCATACGTTCATAGATTTGTTTATGTCAGAAGAAGAACTTCAAGAGAATAAGAAGAATTTCAAAACTAATTGTTGCAATAATTAACATTTATGCATTTACATAGTAGATAAGTGAAATATTTAAAAACTAACAATGGCAAAAAACATTTCATCATAAATACTAATGCGAACTTAATCCAAGAAATGTCTATCAAATAAAAATAAGAAAAATCTTATTGATTATCAACTTATTCAATTTACGATTTGACGTAACCACTGAAACTCTACATATTTTAACACTGAAACTTTGTTCAAAATTTCAGTGGTTGAAGTATCCAATACTTAAATATTAACATCGGCTCCTGAGATCCAACATTTATTACCCTTGTTGTCCCGAAGTTTAACCCAAAGATAAATACGGGATAGTATGGGATAATAAACAATCCAAATAAATTAAACTAACCAACCACAAAAACCAAATTATGAACACAGAAACCACATTCATAGCCCAACCACATACATATATTGCACAGTTCAGACGGTCAATTTTACCATTTTTACGGCGGTAGGGCCACGCAGCAGCCTCGGCTGTTGCACGAATGGGCAGGCCCGTCCGGGTAAGTACCACGACCTCACAGAAGACCGGCGTAAAGTGGAAGGATGACAAACACTTTCGCGTTTCGTCTGGTGAGTGAGGTAGCCGGAGCCCAATTTTCAAAAGGTTGTCAACACATCTGTAACCCTCGGGTGTAGCAGATGCCCATGGGTGGCGGTATTCACTTACCATCAGGTGAACCGTCTGCTCGTTTGGCAAATTTTCACATTAAAAATTATTACTCTGTAGTATTTATTTTTGTGTTACCGTGGTAGGACAACGCAGCAATCCTCACTGTTGCACCAATGGGAAGGTCCGTCCGGCTAAGTACCACGACCTCAAAGAAGACCTGCGTGAAGTGGAAGTATTATAATTCTGTATCATAAATTTATTAGGTAAAAGGTAGGAAAGCATCTGCAACCCTACGGTTGTTGCAAACGTCAATAGGTGGCGAGTATCACCGTTATTTACATCAGGTGAACCGCCAGCTCGTTTGCCACCTTTTCACATTTAAAAAAAAACAAAGTTGCTGCGTGGCCCTACCGCAAAAACAATTTATTAAGAACTTTATTCAATTACGTGGTTCATGTGACTGGAAGAGTGTTGAGCATGAATGTGATTGGAGGGTGTGAAGCTAGAGGAAGACCGTGAAAGATTTGGATGGACTGTGAGAGGAATGATATGTCTGAAAGGGGAAGTATTGAGATTACGGCTGATAGAGGAAGGAAGGAGAAAGGGCATGTTATGCCGACCGCACATGTGTGGGAGAAGAGCAGGAGAAAGAAGAACATCTATCCTAAACTGTTTCTCAAAGAACATTAGTAAGAGAGAATAGGCTTTTCGTTCCACCATCAAGGCTAGAGTTAATGCAAAAAGCTTCTGCAGAAAATACTACAGTACCATTAAATTGTCTCGTTATTTAAAACGGCACAGCTTTCCTCCCTTTAGCCTCTGAGAGACGTTCTAAGAATAACGAGGCATCATAATTGTAGTCATTCGTGTTATAGACTTATAGCGTTACGTAGATTTTTCCCGCGGAATTTCCCGGTACAGCTGTTCAAGATGGCGGCCATTAAGCGAACATTACTTCACTAACGCTCTGTCGTAAATGTACTTTATATCTCAAACGTTTAACGCTCATGAAATATATTAGCAGTTTCAGAACACATAAAGTTAGTCAGATTAAGGTTTGTTAGAAAAAAAATCAGGATTAGAATAATAGTAACGCGCGCTAGAAAAATATATTGAAATAAGTGCCGAATTAAACTATGTACTAGCGTCCGAGTTAAGCGACACTAGCCACTAGGAAAGCGTTTTCTCTTTCTCTGTAATACTCCATCTGCCATTGTTTTTATTGCAATTTAACAATGAGTCGTGTAAGTGTAATGTATTTTGTCTGTATATTATATCTTGACCGGAAAGCTCTAGTTCAGCACAGCTCGGCCACACTACTCCAAACTTCTATTAACTCAAAATAAATAAACTGAAAACATTCCCTTTTAATTGTACGACGTCGCTCTTTTTCAAACTTCTGGTACGTAACGTCAAGATCCGAGATGTAATTTCTGCCCAGTAGGTGAGTTGTATGCCGTGAAATAATTTTTTAAAACGTATTCAATGTAAGTAGACTGTGTAAGGGTGTACATATGCTTACATATTGCTCCTGCACTGATGGTCACAAGACAGTTCAATAAGTTAATTATAAACTGTTGCATCTTAAAAACAAGTTTGACGACCCGAATGGCGTAGTGGGTAGTGTACCTGCCTTCTGCGTCAGAGGGTGTGGGTTCGATCCCCACTACTGGAAAAATATTGTGTGATGAACATAGTGTTTTTCCAGTGTCTTGGTGTTTATATATCTATAATATGTATTTATTTACAAAAGAAAAGTATGTTTATCAGTTACCTAGTATCCATAGTACAAGCTTTGCTTAGTTTGGGACTAGAGAACGTTGTATAAAAATGTGTCCTAAATATTTATTTATTTATTTATTTAAGTCCATATTTTTATTCACGAAAAACAAAGCCGACTTCAAATATCTTGCTCTGCATTCATTTTACTGTTTGATATAATTGACATAATTGATTTCAGAAGTTCCCAAGTATCTCCGGAGCCCAAGATCCGATACCAATGAAATTTTGATCAAAAAATTGAATCAATGAACCATCTTTCAAATAAAAAAGGAACCATCAAAATCACTCCACTCAGTCGAAAGTTCTGAGGTAACAAACATAAAAAAATACAGTCGAATTGAGAACCTCCACCTTTTTTTGAAGGCGGTTGAAAAGTAAGTTAAGTAACAAATTTACTTATTTTTTTTAAGATGCAACTATTGGTAGCACAAGAATATCCCACAGAAGAGATGGATTTAACAAAAAAAGGTGTCAATCGAAAATATACCTCCTTCGGTGCATCTGAAGCCTAATTCACTGTATATACTGCCCTGACCTACTTTAGATCAACTTGCCGCTACGAATAGAATCTGGATATTGACTCGAAACTTTGAAGTAATCTTGCCTAAGAACACTTTGTCTTTCGAAATATTTCTTACATATTTTTTCAACGGTACCTAGTTCTTAAGATATACAGTTCATTTAAAACATTTTCTCATCAGTAACCCTTACATACGTTTCATACACATTTAACAGAGGTAATATAACTTTCTGTCAGCTGACTAAATAGCTATGCCATACATATTATATAACGTTGCATTAGCCGACTATATTATATATAGCTATGTCATAGATATTGCAGGATCAGTTTTTGTTTTATGGTGGGGCCACGCGGCTCTTTTGCCATGTTCAGGAACGTAGGGAAAAGACCAAGTATTATGTAATACTTATAGACTTCACCCCAGACCGACGTATCATACTTTTGCATTCTGAATGGTGATTTATTTAAGAGAGCCCTCTCTATTAAGCTGGCAACAAATTTGCAATCCTACCGCCTACTTTCTTGCAACCCTGTCAAAAAAATGAAGAGAGACATCTCTTTAATTTTAACAAAGTGTCACTTTTTTTTCCTAGCTAAAAAAATAGAACTTTACACGTTATACTGAACTTATTGATTCCTAGCGTTAGCATAGTGAAAAAATAATAATTATAATAAAATTATAAACTATATCGTCTAAAAGCCAATTAATTACCTGTAAATTCACTAGAAAATCTTTTGGGAAAACAACAGTCAAATGAACTCTTATCCACATTTTGTACTTTAAACGCTCGTAAGTGCTATTCCGAGTATGAGTATTAAATTACATGAACTGATTAACTACTAAATGATTCAGAAAATAAATGAAGATTCTCAGACAAACCCAATTTGCAGCTGTAATTTTTCAAGTTCGTCTAAACATTTGTCACAGGCTCGAAGGGGAGGAAATAGCTTAGGGACAAACAATCGATGTAAGGGGACAAATAACAGGAAAGTGAAAGTATTCGTTATTTTGTATTTCGTATAGTGAATACGAAATGAGATGAATACGAATCTGGTGTCATACAATCACTTCTAGTTCACGCCGGGCTTCCGTGAGCTCGTGGTCCTAACCCGGACGGACCTGCCCAATCGTGCAACAGCGAACACTGTTGCAATTGTGAGCAACAGGCACCAATAGGCAGTGTCTTCACTTACCTTAAAGTTTTAGTTCTTACAATCTTATAAACTTTGAACATGGCGAATAAAAGTAAATCTTTGTGTATTGAAGAAAAAAAATAACTAATACGATATAGAAGCAGGAGAAAAGATAATCGACGTTTGAAGAAGCTTAAGATTTAGCCACTCTACCGTGTTTTCAATATCGAAAAAATCCTGCAAACAGAGATGGATGGAAAATCAATTATTAAAATTTAATTAATATAAATTTTTCTCTACTATAATGACAACTCTATATAACGTCACAAAATGTACAGTACCATATGTCGTTATCTAGAGTTGACATCAAAGAGAATGTAATATCACTACGTTTAAGAGACGGGACTTCCATACTAGCCAAAAATATCAGTTTACGCGGCACTTCAATACCAACCATACCACAAAAATACCACAAAGATGTCAAACAACAGGAGTACCAACGTAATGAGACAAATAGTGTTTAACCAAGCTAGCTTAGCTTCTTATCGATATCGATAAAATATACTAGGTAGAAAGCGAGGTTTCCACTTAATTTTTTTTTTATTAATTTTAGGTAAGTATCGAGTCCGTATTTATGTCCAATGTTGATGAGGGGATATTTGGTACTAATACAAGATTGGACTTAAATGCGGACCCGAAATAAGATAAAAAACGGTTTCTGATAATTCAAATAAAATTACATTACTGAAATGAAATTTATTTCTTGTCTTTTGATTCTTCAGCCAACAGCTGTTGTCCTGCTGTACACGAGTCTGGAAATAATTGAAACATAAAAACAGAATCAAAATACAATAATTATTTTAGTTTTCTTGCATACTCAGCGCACGAAATTAATTATATGACGTATCAATATTACAGAGACTATGTTTCAAAATACTGCAAAATTCACCTATTCCGATCCTTGCTCATTTATGTAGGCACACCATTCAAATATGTAAAACTTTGTGCCCCTGCTCTTTCGCGAAACATTTTATTTCTTTTTTTTTTTTTTTCAATGATCGATATGTGGATATTACAATTGCTGTACATCACTAGCACACAATTTAAATGAGATAAATTTGTTAATTTTATTTGTTCTTAGCCTGCTCCACTTACATATGGCTGCAAAGTATCATATTTAAGTGCTTACATGGGCTTCATCTAAGGGAAATCTTGCCATAAACATCCTTTTTTCAAGGTTCGAATGACTTGCTCGATTTTCACCAATTTCACATGTAATAAACCGTCTTCTTGGCATTTTGAATTAAAAGTACAACTCTGATCACCTGTCACTAGTTTTCGTGAGAAATTTTACTGTAAACAATTTAAATTTACAATGAAATAAGCATTTACATTCAAAATACGCGGTGCAATATTAAGTTTTGACAAAGAACATGGCACTTCTTGTATCGCAAGAAAGAGAAACCGCATTGAGGGAGAGTGATAGCAATGTCCGCCATTATTTGCCGCGTAAAGTCCATAGAAACATTTTTTGTTCCTAGTTTCGCCAGACCGGTTGACATTGTAGTTTGTGTTTACATATGTAAAAAAAATTTAAAAAATCTTTATTTTTACCAGCGACTGATTAATACCTGAATATAATAACATCTGGCATTTAACAGTTCGTTAAGAGTCACATTGAAATCGGACGGAAAACGGACGCAAGCAAACTGTTTCACATTGATAAATGAAAATTGGCGAACTGTTCGATATTAATTAATGAAAATTGCAAATTAAAGTACCGTTTTCAATTTTGAGGATACCCGATTGAAAGTATAAGTTGGAATATATTCAAGTTACAGATAGCAGTTAAAATATACATACGCTTTTTGTTAATAAGCCTGTTTTAAGGCTGCGTACGCTTGGGATTTCATATACTTATCATTTTATTAGACGACACTAAGAAATCCTCAAAAACTTAAATAAATACTGTTAAATAAAAATCCTATCTGGATATTAGATAATATTCACAGCCAATCCCAATAGAACAGTTGAAGATATCTAATGCTATCTAAATTTTAATATGTGAAGCAAAATTTTGTACTTCTTTTAACAAAAATTGCGCGGACGGAAGAGTATGAAATTTCCCACACTTATATGTAGTTTATATAGAGAAGGAATGCAGAATGCTAATATATTTTTTAAATTATATAAAAGTAAAAAAGTAAAGTAACAGCCTATACATGTCCCACTGCTGGGCAAAGGCCTCCTCTATAGAGAGGGTATCAGGGCATAGTCCACCACGCGGCCCCACTGCGGATTGGCGGACTTTACATATCTTCGAAATATATATTTTTTGTTATTATTTGGAAAATATGCAGGTTTCCTCACGATGTTTTCCTTCACCGCGGAGCACGTGATAAGTTAGCACTTAAAGTTAATAACTTCATTGACGCCGGCACCGGGGATCGAACTCAGGTTGCTCGAGTATATTGAATTAAAGGCGAGCGCCCGGACACTGAGCTATCACGGCATAAATTATATAAAATAATAAATTAAATAAACAATAATACTTTTTTTTAATTAGACGTAATAATAAATTAAATAAAAATTGCCCACAGTACCATATGTAATTAATAATAATGGTAGAATTTCAACCACTGGTCAACCACTAGTACACCTAAATAAATATACGTCGCCACGCTTGTAAAGTCCATACGCGTATCATTTGTTCAAATAACAGCTGACGTCGAATCAGAAGTAACAATTTTATTGACAAGTTACACGATTACTGTTAGACGTTGTAAGCGTTTCATTCAAGCATTGCGTGCGAACTCTCCGCTCACGCTCCGTCAATAGACCCAGTAAACGGTTTGATTGAATTCCCCACCCGTACTATCGGCTTTTGTTTAACAACGAAATTAATTTTCCTCTCAATTATCTCGATGCAATCTCGAATGAGATCCATTCAGCCACGTTCAATATCGTTTGTGATATGATGTTGCGTAGTATTCCACTAGCTCGTATTAACAGATTAAAAAGGAAAAAATACGTACTGTAACGATGTCTGTGAATTAATTAATTGCTTGTGGACGTTTTACAAACATAAATTTCAGGTAAAAAGCACCCAGATTCCTTAAAAGTTATCTGCGGGTCGCATAAATAATTGTCCCGTGTGGGAATCGAACTCATGAACGCCGACGCCAATATCTTGGCCTTGTACCTACATACCACATCAATAATTTTTTAAGACAAGGCCTTCTTAATTTTCAAGATTATTTCCCGAAACGAGCAAAAATTTTAAAATGCTTTTTGTAATTGAGAAATATAAGAATAGATTCCGTGATATTACATTCGTGCTGTGGACGCATATGGGCAAAGAAGTAAATCATTATCACATTAAGTGATTTACAATAAAATTGAAAGAACTGAAATACGGAACACATTGACTTGGCATTTTATATTAAGACTGATAATAATTACGATACTACTCATCAAAATAAAATACCATAAATACAATAAAATACCATAAATGCAATATCTCATTTCCACACCATAATAACATATGGTCACAACAGTGTACGACAAATGTGAAAAGCCAAGTCATTTACAGTATTTTTATTGTATAAAACTGTACATATTTGTTGTTTCCTTTACTACTAGGGGTATGGATAGTGTTAAATATATTAATGTGTGATGAATGACCTTTTCTTAGTAGGGGTAATTTTATTGAAGAGATGCTAAAAATACTGCATTACACATTAAGGCATGTCACGTTCGAGTTCGAATGGTAAGGTTATCGCGGGAGTACCTACAGTTTTCATAATCGAAATGGAGGCAGCTGGATTGTATTATACTGCATCGCCCCCTCGGGACTTGGACCCTCTAAGCCCCAAGTTCGATCAAAGGTACGATCGGGACGCCTACGTGCTCAGAATTGCAACTGCCCAGGTCCGAATCCGTAAGGCAAATCGCTGCGCTATTCAAGCCGTGCCTAATTCGTCGAAAGCGGACGACTTGTGTAAATAAGAATGTTAGTTCTTTCAAATCTTCGCATCCTCGCCACTGTAGGTAAATATTATCACTTGTCTTAAGCTATTGTTTTGCTTTTACACTGAAAATACATGGGAGAGCACGCGGATATTAAAGAGTAATCGTTAAGTCAGAGTTCGATTATTTTGACGGATGGCAGGACCACGCAACAGTATCCGCTGTTGCACGAATGGGCAGGTCCGTCCGGGTAAGTACCACGGCCTCACTGCTTCTCTCCCTTTTATATCTACTCACGACATCAAATGATTCACAAACGATAGATGAGCCGAAACATCAAATGAAATTTTAAAATTATTATCAATCAAGTTAACAACAATTTATAAATTGTTAAGGTGGCAGGGCCACGCAACAGTGTTCGCTGTTGCACGAATGGGCAGGTCCGTCCGGGTAAGTACCACGGCCTCACTGCTTCTCTCCCTTTTATATCTACTCACGACATCAAATGATTCACAAACGATAGATGAGCCGAAACATCAAATGAAATTTTAAAATTATCATCAATCAAGTTAACAACAATTTATAAATTGTTAAGGTGGCAGGGCCACGCAACAGTCTTCGCTGTTGCACGAATGGGCAGGTCCGTCCGGGTAAGTACCACGGCCTCACAGAAGACCGGCGTAAAGTAGAAGTGTTACACTTCTGCGTTTCGTCTGGTGAGTGAGGTAGCCGGGGCCCTCATTACAAAAAGGTGGCAACACATATACAATCGGTGTTGCAAATGTCCGTCGGCGGCGGTTAGCTCGTTTGCCACTTTCTCACATAAAAAAGTAATACATATTATAGAATCGAATCCATATATCTTGTAGAAGACAGTTGATCTATTAAAGCAAACACTAGGATATATAGAGCTTGTAGTTCAGTGTCCGGGCTCTCCTTTAATGTCCTTTAATTCACTTTACTCGAGCAACCTGAGTTCGATCTGTTGTCAATTTTAAGTGCTGACTTATCACGTTATCAGCAGTGAAGATCATCGTATACATCGTGAGGAAACCTGCATATTTTCGAAATAAATACTCAAGCATCCCTAGTTCAAATCCCGGTGCCAACACTATGGAATTATTAAATGCACTTTTAAGTGCTGAATTATCACGTGCTCTACGGTATAAAAACATCGTGAAAAAATCTGCATATTTTCGAAATAATAACAACAACCGTGTATGTGTACTTCTGTACGCACGTAAAAGGAATTATATTTTCTTTAGCTTACCAAAAGAAAAATAGTTAAGAATAACTCTTTGTTTGTGACAAAGAGACATTATATGTAATTGATAATGGTTTAGTTAAATAATTACTTGGAATAATATTTTTTTATGTGAAAAGTTGCCAAACGAGCAGACGGTTCACCTGATGTTAAGTGAATACCGCCGCCCATGGACATTTGCTACACCCGAGTGTTACAGATGCGTCGACAACCTTTTGAAAATTGGGCTCCGGCTACCTCACTTACCAGACGAAACGCGAAGTTATTTGTTATACTTCCACTTTACGCCGGTCTTCTGTGAGGTCGTGGTACTTACCCGGACAAGCCTGCTCATTCGTGCAACAGCCGAGGCTGCTGCATGGCCCTACCACCGTAAATGTCTTAAAATGTGGAATAAAAGTTGTTATTGTTTCCTATGACAACACCGTAAAGTTGGTGTCGCGTGTTAAGGTGCGTCATCTTCACTCATCATTTTTCCCAAACGCACCAAAGGGTACGCACAAATAAACTTCAAAATAATATTTCTACGATATTATGTGAAGTCTCTCAGGCCGCAGTGGGGTCGAGTGGTAATCTACGCCCAAAATACCTTCTGTACAGAAGACCTTTCCCTCGCAATGGGACCTGTTATTTTTTTACAATGCTTAGTTCTATAAAGAACAGATAGGACCTCATTTTATTATCTTTCGTAATTTTAAGACGTAAGATAGTAAAGTTCACTTGACGCAGTGATTGCCTAGCGTTGTCAACTATCAAAATGTTACTATGTAGTTACGTTACTCGCGACGTGAAAGCTAAAGTATCATATTCTATAAGTCGGGAAAATGTACAGCAACTTTCACTGTATAATCTCAATGCTTTTGCCATTACAATGTAAGTACTGACAGGATTTTGTTACGTAGGCAAGACATGACGAGGTGGCCGAGAGGTTAAGGCGTTGGACTGCTAATCCAATGTGCTCTGCACGCGTGGGTTCGAATCCCATCCTCGTCGTAAATTTTTTTTCGTTTTTAATTTGTACACAGACTAATAATAAAATTTTACTTAGATTTTTGTATTCTATTAAGAGTAAAATCAAAGTATGAATTAAAATGAAGAAATTTTTTAACAATGTGTCGTAATTACTTTACAAGTTGGATTTGATTTAGATGTATAATGTCTTCGCAATTAATATTTCTTCATTTCTCTTTAATTTTGACCAATGTCTTTTACATGTATAACACCGATACAGTCTTGAAATACATGAATACATTATGACGTAAATAACATTTACCTTTGTTCGAACTGGCTGAATTAACATATTGGAACCTTCGCCGACCTCAGACATTCTTCGTCAATGATTTAACGACTTTCCTTATTCAAAATAATCTGACTGAAACACTTGCCAAATGGCCCATCTAAATAGAACCTTTCCAACGGATTAGTTCGACCCTTTTCAAACAGGACCTAACCCGCAACATAATTGGAATGTATTTAAACTACTCACTTTGATTTCAACCGTAATTTGTATTACACCCGTTACAACTTTGATACAAATTATGAATACCTATCGTACAAGTATTAAGATGTAATGAATTCGGCCTTGATACTAGAAATGAGGGATCGAATATTAGCCTCAAAATATATCGTACTTTGAACGTTTAAATGCAATCAAAGGTCTTCTACACTTTTGATGTTGTTTAAAACTGTTTTATATAAATTACTAGCTGCTGCCCGCGACTACGTCGCATAGAATAGGATGAAGGCGTAGTATTCAGACAGAAAGACAGATATACATAAAAATATGTATATGAATTATAGCCTATGTGTTATTCTGATGTATAAGTTATATCATGGTAAAGTTTCATTAAAATCCACTCAGGAGTATTTGCGTGAAAGTGTAACAAACATCCATCCATACATACAAACTTTCGCCTTTATAATATTAGTAAGGACGAGATAAAGTTGTTAAAAATGTGTTAAGCACATGAGGGAGGTAGCTGCACATTGCACTGTTGCACGAATGGGCAGGCTCATCCAGGTTAGTACCAGGGCCCCACTGAGTTTCATCTGGCGAGTGAGGTAACTCAGACCACTTCTTCTTTCCAAAAGTTGGAAACCCTACCTACGGGTGTTCAATTATCAATGGGCGGCGGATATCACTTAACATCAGGTGAACCGCCAGTTTGCTCACCAACTTCTCGCATAAAAAAACGGTCAAGTGCGAGTTGCACTCGCGCACCAAGGGTTCCGTACAACTCTCTATATCGTATCTATAAAAATCACATCTGTTGTATGGGAGCCCCACTTAAATATTTTTTTATTCTATTTTTTAGTATTTGTTGTCATAGCGGCAACAGAAATACATCATCTGTGAATCAAATTACAACTAACTATCACCGTTTATGATACAGCCTGGTGACGGACGGACAGACATATAGACAGCGGAGTCTTAGTAATAGGATCCCATTTTACCCTTTGGATGCAGAACCCTAAAAAGGGGGCTAATAAAACACATAGCACATTATGAAAATACCACTTTATTGACATACGAAAAGAAACACAAGAAAACGAAAGGGATTAGAATACGAACAAGACGATTAGAATACTGCTTCATAACAAAACCGAATGATTAAAGGATTGGCTCTCTAACCTAATGGCACAGACTTTCGAGGGTCTATTTCACTTGGGGGCTGAAACTGGACGGAGTTACTCCTCGTCCTCACGGGGTTAGGAATGGTCCAACATTCAAATCCTTCTTCCTACATCCGTTCACAATAGAGGTCAGTCAAGGTCGATGCAGTTGCGTCCACTGACTAAAGCCGTCTTCAACATATTTCTCATATTACTGCGGCAGTTTCACTAAATCAGCTTTGCTAGCTTTCTTTGATGCTGGTTAACAATTGGCAAATTAATCATTCGTTTTTTTTTTCCACCACGGCCAATATACGGTTAAGAACCTTAGTATAACTACGAATTTTCGTGCCGTAACGGTGTGTTATTCCGGGATATGTATTTTCATGGCGTAACGAGGCTGTCCATAAAGATAAAAATGCACTTCAAACACTAACTACCAATTTGACCATCGCCATAGTGCTCAATTTTTAAATTTATTAAATTACTTTTTAAGATACAGTGAAAGATAACGAATTTTCTATATTAGGCGGCAAATTTAAAAACTACTCTACAGGCCTGTTAAATTCATGACAGACAATATATTTCCTGTCAAGATTACACGAGTTCTATTTTATGAAATGTTAATGAGTTAGTTTCAATCGCAAAGTAAAATTGTATTTGAGTTGCATAGAGTGAACAATGTTAGGTTATGAGGAATACATAATTGTAGTGTATAATGAAGGCTTGTCCGTATTATCATCTTAAAACGATAAACGACTTTCTACTGTGGCCGTTTTGTGATTTGTGTGAGTGCTGTGATAACTAATTAATCGCTAATCTATCAATGGTCTGTCATAGCGAGCGTATTCTACATGGTTCTCATAAAGTTACTTAATGTTACTCTCTCTATCTTTACTTTCATTTGGACCAATAACCAGATGAAAACAAACACACAAAACGTCTTTTTGTCTGATTGTGCGCATACAATTCGTGAATCACTGGACATGTAAGCTGATCGTTTTTAACAAACACATTATTTATTCAGATTAAAGCACACATTTAGTTAATATAATTAAACTAGCTGCTGCCCGCGACTACGTCTGCGTAGAATAGGCTGAAGGCGTAACATTCAGACAGAAAGACGGATATACATAAAATATGTGTATAAATTATAGCCTATGTATTATTTTGATGCATAAGCTGTATTATTGTAGTTTCATTAAAATCCATTCAGTAGTATTTGCGTGAAAGAGTAACAAACATCCATCCGTACATACAAACTTTCGCGTTTATAATATTCGCGAATATAGTTTAATACTTCAGTAATAAATGGACGGCATATTGGAAGGATATATGATATCAACAAATTTTCTTTCTTTCTTCTCTTTTCTTCACCGTTTTACAATAACTTAGAAGGATCGGTGAAGATATAAAGGCCCGTAAATGGCTTGAGATACCATAAATCTAATAAAGTATAAAAACTTATCGTACTGGACGGATTTGACGTTACATGGAATGAATTTTTAACATAATAACAATAAAAAATTGAGATAGATTAATAATTAAATATCGCATCTTGAGATTATATATTTTTTTATTATTAAAAAACACTGCCCTCACTTACAACACAGGATAACATTGTCCTGTGTTGTAAGGACGTTTGACAAACATAAATTCCACATGGACAAACACCCAGATGCGAAACAACTATCTGTGGGTCGCACAAATAGTTGTCCCGTGTGGGAATCGAACCCACGACCCCCCACCGTAGCCGATGCCTTGACAATTGCGCCACGGAGTCATCATAAAACTCAAAACATATCCCGACCTAATTACATATTTAATACGGTTTCACAATACTATTCAGTTACAATTAAGTAGTGAAAATACTACAAAGATATCCTAACTAGCTATATCGAAAAGTATCCTAAAATACCTGAATCTATTCAGTCAGCTTAGCTTTGATTACGCGACAATTGCATTCATCTCATATCGCTAAGTTTGAGCTTTACGAAACAATTGAGCGTAATTGCTCTATCAGAGCAAAATTTCTTTATTAAATTAAATAGATTTCACAACTAATAACGTAGAGTCCAGATTGAATGGATCAACCTTTTACATGAAAACTACTCTATGACACGGAATAGAGTGGCTTTGCTCAATAGCAACTCTACAACGCGATTTAGGGCAACTAACGGAGTAATTTTGCTGCAATACTAATCTTAGGATGGAAAGTATTTGCTCTGGCATAACATGTCATACGTTTATCGACTTTTCTGTTATAAAACTACATTCCTTAAAACGAGCATTATGCTTAATGGAGCAACTCTATTATATAGAGCAAATTCGCTCTAACTTTAGAGCACTAAATAGAGCGATTTGCTCTAATAGAGCATGATTGTAACATAACAGATCATACGTTTATCGGTTTTACTGTTATAAAGTTATTTTGCTAATAACAGCCCATACTAAGTGTATGGGCTGTTATTAGGAATGTCACTTGGGGCAACTCTAGTATATAGAGCAAATTCGCTCTAACTTTAGAGCAACTGCACTAAATAGAACGATTTGCTCTAATAGAGCATGATTGTAACATAACAGATCATACGTTTATCGACTTTGCTGTTATAAAGTTACTGTGTGTGGGCTGTTAGTAGGAATGTAACTTGGGCCAACTATATTATATAGAGCAAAATAGCTCTAAGTTTGGAGCAATTTCACGAAAATGATCGATTTGCTCTAACAGAGCAAACTCAATCGAGCGATTTGCTCTAATAGAGCATGATTGCTCCATTCACTTTCTCTTCTAAAGCTGGTGCCACTGTGTCCGCTTCTCTGCCATCGGCCATAGCTATCAGGATGCACACGTTGTTGATAATCGCCGCAATGATGGCCGCCACCACCAGCCTGAAAAGGTAGAAGAGAAGAGAATATGAGAAAGTATTCAACGATTTTTTTTTTTAATAATATATAAGTTTTAACGGACACAAAAAAATAACTAAAATTATAGGCAAGAACCATCTAGCCAGACCATTAGTTTAGAAGGTACGATGCCACACACACGCTGATTAGTTGACATCTACGATGATTAGTGTTTCAGAAACCAGGCGACAGACAAGGATACAAAGGCAGCCGCGTCAAAATGACAACACAACTCTTTTGACGTCGAGTGTTAATAACGCCTTCCATTATGTCTCTAACTTAACGTTTGCGTGATAGCAGGGCGCGAGTCCCAATGACGTGGGTTCGATTCCCACATAGCGGCGGAAAACTTGTCGCACTTTTTTCTACACATTTTGATCATGTTGCAGTGTCTCACCATACAGCCCTGTAGTCCCGGGCTGATAGAATAGGGCTAAGGTATCCCCTGCCTGTCGTGAAAGGCGACTAAAAGGGGACACGGATGGGCAGCAGCTCGAAGTGGTCTCGTGCTGCTGCAAGAGGGTGAGGGAATCGGAGAAGTTTTGGCTTCACCGATCCCGAAATCCCTCCAAATGTACGGAAGGGTACGGAGCCCACATAACCCTGTCTTCCCTCTTCCATTCCATATCTTTTGAAGGTCCCCTCCCCCCCCCCCCATTTCAATGAAAAGACTGCAATTTATGTTGAAACTTAATAGGTAGATACATTTTTTGCCGCTGCCATAATTCGAACCTGTGCCTTACGAAATACGCCCAGATGCTTTGACCACTAAACGGTCGATATCCTCGCACTTCTTATTTACTATGTTTACATTGCATTTTTGCAATGCTCGACGTCAGCTTTACAAAAGGGCGTTTTAGTGGGTAAGGACCCCACGTAACCCTGTCATGTTAGGTGACAGGGTATCTTTCGAAGATTTCCCCCCCCCGGTACCAAAAAAAAATGGTCTCACCAGAACGACAGTCCAAGGTCCGCCATGCCGTCGGAAGACCAGGTGTTGGCTAGGTCCTCCTCCGACATCACGTTGTGCTGCAGCCTCAGGAAGTACTCCGTCAGCCATACCGCTATCGCGCCCAGAGAGAAGAGCACTGTAAGAGACATTAATGTCCATGTTAAATCAATTTGTAATTAAAACGCTCGTGAATTATCGCATACATTACAATTAAGAATTACCTTAACGCATTTCCAAACGCACTGTCGAAAAGCAGAACGGATACCAGAAGAATGGCGGAAGTATAACTATTACCCGTACAGCCTGCTTTTGTATTACAAAAGCAGGCTATATCATGTATGTACGTAATAATATCCACCTATTTACGAAAAAACAATCCACATCGCGTCGGGGCCGTGGTGGCACTCTGGAAGTACCGAGGTTTAGATTGGCTAAAACCAGAAAGTCGTTTCTTGGAAGATGCATCAACTTTTATAATAAAATAGGTGACATCAACAAACAACTAAGTATAAACAATTTCAAACAATTTGTAAAAGCTACCTTAATGGCAAGGGCCTTCTACAATATCCAAGAATACATAGAGGACAAGGATGTTTGGAAATGACTCTTGCTCTGCACTTGCAAGACCCCTGGCTACTGCTGATTTTATACCCAAATAAGTGTGTATAATTGCATTAAAAAAAATATATATAACAAAAAGAACAAGACCGCAGAGTTTCTTGCCGGTTCTTCTCTGTGCAGGTCTAGTTTAGTGAACCGGTGGTAGATTTTTGTTGACGTTCAATAAGAGCTTAAGTTAGGCCTATATTGAATAAATATACTTTGACTTATTCCTAACTAAGGTAGGGTCATACAACAGGCAGTTCCGTGCGAGGAAGTACCACAACCTAACAGAAAACCGGCATAAAGTGGGAGTATTTATTATACTACTGCATTTAACCAGACGATTAGTGGGGCTGCCAGGGCCCACATTATTTTAAGGTGACAACGCATATGCAACCGTCAATGTCTGTCGCAAACGTCAATGGGCGGCGGTTATCACTCATCATCAGGTGAACCACCAGCTCCCTTGCCGTGGTACTCCCACCGTCGAGCCTGCCCATTCGTGCAACAGCGAAGATCGTTGCGTGGTAAGGCCACAGTTAGGTGCGAACCGTATCGTCATACCGCCGTACAGGTGGTACCAACACCAATCCTATCCCCACCTAATTGTGAAACTTGTGGAATGTATGAAGATGTCAATCATATATTAACAGGATGTGTGAAGTATAAATTAGCCCGTGATAACTTAATAAAATAATTATAATTAAATTTATTCGATGTAGGTACTTTCCATGGTATATTGTCTAAACCCAGTTCTAAGGCGGCTTTTTATTTATATAAATCTGTACAATTGTGCTTACTTGAAAACGATTAACTTAGAAGTATAAGTCCTTCTGTTAACATATTCGTTATAAGGTCCGATGGGACTGACGTATTGACGTATCCATATTTGTGTAAAAGTCCCTAAATAAAATAAAGAGAAAAAAACCCTATACCAACACCCCTGACCCTATTCTACCACTCATATGCATATTTGTGTAAAAGTCCCTAAATAAAATAAAGAGAAAAAAACCCTATACCAACACCCCTGACCCTATTCTACCACTCATATGCATATTAGTGTTAAAGTCCCTAAATGAAATGAAGAGAAAGAACCCTATCCCGCCACTTCCGAGCCTACTCCCCCCCTCACCTGCAGCGCAGTTGCACACCAGGAGCGGCTTGGGCGAGCACCTCTCCCTCGCGGCGGAGCCCAGGGCGGCGAGGGCGCAGGCCCCGCCGGCGGCCGCCACCGCCACGCCGAGCTGCGCTGCGGTGCCGCACCACGCCCAGCGGCGCGCCGGGTGTGTGCCCGCCTTAACTGCAAACCGAACGGATCTCGTGGAACACCTCGCACCGCTTTGTGGGAGAGCGGACAAACGAACAGATACGACAATGACGACGAACGATGTGAAATAAGAGCTGTACCGCCACCATACCTGCACCATGTACTGTAAACTGATATTATTTGTTCAATTTCTTGCCGGTTTCTTCTCAACGGGAAACTCCTTACCGAACTTTGGTAACTTACGAACTTGTGTATTCATTTTTATGTAAAATTCAACGTTTCCTATGAAAGCGCAAGTGTAAATTTATTATAAATTCGAATAAAGATATTTTGAATAAAATAAATCAGTTATACGTTAGTGCCATTACAATTATACACGCTGAGAAAGCAAGGTCAATTGTCGTTGGACAAGTAACGTTGCTTACGTTGACTAAGGACATTATCAAATTCCTTATAAGTAAACGATGAGAACAAGAAACGTGATGTTTGACAATAGAGTAAGGCGAACACAAATCGCAGGTTAGGACCACTCCCCACAAGATGGAGTGACGACCTGTGCAAGTGTGCGAGAAATCGATGGATGCAGGTGGCTCAGGATCTTGCTTCGTGGCAGTCTGTGGGCGAGGCCTATGTTCAGCAGTGGACTCAAATAGGCTGAAATGGTAATAAATCAGAAAATTTATATTATTAACACCCTCATTCTGTGTTTTACGGTCGCTCACCGCTGACGTTGTAGATGCGCCAGCCGTAGGCTACGTTCAGCTCCTTTCGACCCTCGAACAGGCCGAAGCTGATCCGACCCTCGGACACTAGCGGATTGGAGGCGCGCCGCGCCCTCGCCTCCACCCAGCGCGTAGTGCCCAACGAGCCGACGATCAGCGCGATGCAGAGGCAAGCGCCGAAGAATGTTGCGAAGATCATCGACCGCTTGAACAGGTTCAGCTTCATCTTGAGCGGGCAGCTGGCGTGACGTCACATGTTACCATCGACGGACAGTTGTGCCGTCGGCCCTTAAGAGTCGAGGCGACGGTGAAAACGGAGCATAGTGTACGGTCGTGCCAGCTGGATAGATCTCTTTCCGTTCTCAAACCTGTATAAGATCTGGAACAACGGAAACAGTAATTTAGAAATTTAGTAAGTGCTAATTTAGATTTGAACATTATAAGCACTTAATAACGCCGTTGAAATCGAAACGTTTCGCAAGCACGCTACCACTGAAGGTGATTGCCACACCGACGAAAATCTTAACGCCAAGCATTTGAAGCAATGCTTGGCGCCATCTATTGTTATATCCTTTCCAGCATACAAACAATTTCGAATCAACGATTTCGGAGAGATGTCGCCATAAAATTTAAATCATAGTGCTCTTTGCACTTAATATTGAACATTAAAATAAAATGCGAAAAGATTGTCGCCGTTGTGGGAATCGAACCCACGTCTCGGCATTCGCGGCCAGACGCTCTATGAGCTCTGATGTCCATGACGAAAATCTTAACGCATTCTTCCACGTTTTCTTAGCATTTTAAGATCGGACGCCATCTATTGTTATATCCTTTCCAGCATTTTCGAAATGTTTTACAACGATAATTCGAACGAGAGATGTCGACGGAAATAAATTGTTTAACAGCTTAATATTGAACATTAAATATGTAGAAAAATGGGTTCACAGAAATCTTTTCGCACTTTTTCTACGGGTGATTTGATTATAAGCGCTCCAAAAGTTCGCAAGCACGCTACCAGTAAGGTATATTCGCCAAGTAAGGTTTCCTAACAAACTCTTTCGGCTAAATAATCACTCTCTAAATCGACCCTGTCACAAATCGGACATATTGGTTGAGGCGGCTAATTCCTTCTTAATGTCAAGTTTATACGGGTTACCTAACATTGAAGTTATGAACGGAACAAAGTCGACGGAACCGGTGTGGCGGGTTTTTTAATTAGCACAACCACTTCGAACGCCGTTTCAATCGACGCGTATTTGTGTATTAAAGGCTTTTATTCGTTGCCTGTAGTAACATATGTGACCTAGTTAAAGAAGACCCAATACTGGCTTTAACAAAGAACATAGAAATAACATTTGTTTACGATTCCATTCGACGCGCGAATATAACGGTTAAATTCTAGCCTAGACGAAACGCGTGCGGGCAAATATAAAAACCGGCCAAGTGCGAGTCGGTCTCGCGCACGAAGGGTTCCGTACCCATTAAATTAATTTTTTCGGTTTTTCAGTATTTATTATTACAGCGGCAACAGAAATACACAATCTGTGAAAATTTCAACTGTTTTACTATCACAGTTCATGAGATACAGCCTGGTGACAGACGGACACACAGGCAGCGGAGTATTAGTAATAGGGTGCCGTTTACCCTTTGGGTACGGAACCCCAAAAAGCGTCTCTGCTCGATCATATAGAAAAATTTAACTCATTAGCATCTACTTTTCCTCGTATTTTTTCCCGCAGTTATCGACAGATTTCTTCAAAACATCATTGTTTCGAAGCGATCTTATTCTGGTTTAAAAAATGCGGGCATTGTTTGACGCTAACTCTATAAAACCTATACAAGAGGAGGAAATGGGTAAGAGTTCTGATTTGATAGACAATGGCTTGAGTTAGAAAATTGCCAAACAAATACTAAACGCTATCCCGACGGTGTAGGATGAGATAATTCAGGTGTTTTATATTCCAAATTAACTATGCGATCAGCCGGATCGTCGGGTTGCAGTTGATGAACCATTGTCACCTGTTACCGAGTGGGAATCGAGCAGTACCTAAGTCTACCTTAGCAGCCGAGTCCAGCGAATCAGCTTTTGCGCAAGTAGCGACAAACAAAGAGCATCAAATTCAAACTTGGCTAATATCACAAGGTTTTCAGCGTGAACGGGGTAAGCAACGATTCTGTTCTAGCGAAAATTTCGTGCACAGTATAACGCGGGATAAGTAGATACGCGCCAACAAATAAACAAGAGAATGTATAAGTAAGCTAACATTAATAAAAATTTTAAGAAAGAGGAACCCAATGATGTTTTAATAAAGATGACGAAAGACCATACTGCGCGGCGTATAAAAATTGTTCCGCTTTACATTATACGACATATTAAGTGAATATGACAGATGATTTAGAATGATTGGCATAGAAAGAGACAACAACAGCCTATAGAACTGCATTGTGTGATAGGAGTGACTCAATTTGGGTGCCATGTGTCATACCTACCTCGTATTTGTATATATTATTGGTGAAACCAAACAGAACACTCAATAAAATTAAATAAAACACAATAGTGCACATCACATCACGAACAATGGTGTTACAATAAAGATGACGCATGTCCATTGCTGCGCGGCTTTACAAAATTGTTCCGCTTTTCGTCATTTTAAGACATATATAAGTGTGACAGATGATACAGAACCTATGATACGGAAAGAGATAGCAGACTAATAGATTGCAACAATTGCCGCAATTTGAGTGCCGCATATTCGGCGCAAGAGCTGTGATAGCTCAGTGTCCGGGCGCTCGCCTTTAATTCAATATACTCGAGCAACCTGAGTTTGATCCCCGGTGCCGGCAGCAATGAAGTTTTTAACTTCAAGTGCTGACTTATCACGTGCTCCGCGGTGAAGGAAAACATCGTGAGGAAACCTGCATATTTTCGAAATAATAACAACAAAATATATATTTTGAATAGATATGTGAAGTCCGCCAATCCGCAGTGGGGCCCCGTGGTGGACTATGCCCTGATACCCTCTGTATAGAGGAGACCTTTGCCGTTACTTTACTTTTTTATATTCGGCGCGACAGTATCACATCTGTCCCGTTTTAACCGACTTCAAAACGAGGAGGTTCTCAATTCGACTGTATTTTTTTATGTTGGTTACCTCGGAACTTTATACCGAGGGAACCGATTTTGATGATTCTTTTTTTATTTGAAAGCTGGTGCTTCCCAAGTGGTCGCATATTAATTTCATTGGTATTGGATCTTGGGCTCCGGAGACACTTAGGGAGCTCCTGAAAATCGATTAGAAAATTAATACGGAGCGAGATATTTGACGTCGGTTTTCTCTTTCGTTAGTAAAAAAATAATGGCTATTGTATATAATATCATAGGTCACAAGGACGCGAACATCGACGCACAATCGCATGATACGGGCAATTATAGCGAACGGAGCTTTACGCCAGCACAATATACAGTTACAGTTACTCTTACATTGGATTGAGTGGTAAGACCATCTTACAGTGGTAGGGCCACGCAGCAGCCTCGGCTGTTGACGAATGGGCAGGCTCGTCCCGGTAAGTACCACGACCTAACAGAAGGCCAGCCTAAAGTGGAAGTATAATACTTTCGCGTATCGTCTGGTGAGTGAGGTGGCCGGAGCCCAATTTTCAAAAGGTTGTCTACACATCTGCAACCCTCGGGTGTAGAAGATGTCCATGGGTATACCATAAAATGTAACAAATTGTATGTAAGTACAATCAATCCGTGTATACATCTATGTGTATTAAACACATCTGTGTCTGTCTGTCGTTTTATTCTCTTGTAACTCGAAAGCCGCTGATGCACGAAAATACATTATTTGAGCAGATTTCAGTATTTTAGTGACTTAGGGAAACAAGGAGTAGCCCACGCGAGCGTAGGTGGGGACAAAACCAGTATGTTATGCACAAGGTTCTTTAATACCTTTCCTTCGTGTTGAATACGGTCTATATTGCAAGTACAAATACTTTCTAATTCAAATGAATCAACGACGCCTTAAAGATATATAAATTCAAGTGAATCGCGTTGCCGTTTATGCAAAATAACAAATCTAGGGTAACATACCAATAGAAATTGTACTCTGTTCAATCGAATTAAGGTTCTTTTACGTGGTCGAGCCAAGCGGGACGCGGTGAAGCCGAAACGTACTCGAAACTCGACTCTTTCACATTGAAATACAGCGCTATTTCGTGTGGCGGATGAGCCAGAATGCAAAGTGCCGGTGGCCCGGTACCACACTGACTCGCTTCTCCGGCGCTCTCAAGCGACATAGTTATATACCGTGACTTTAATCGGCGAACTCATCAATTACGAGCGCGACAACTGATACTTTCTTTATAATGTCATAAAATAACGGTGGGTGGAATAATTATGAGATAAAGTGCACGGCGATATCGCAGCGTGTGCATGAAATATCAAGACCTCACGGAACACGTTATTGAGAAAACCGTGACCCTCTTAAAGAATAAATAAATTAATATTTCGGTGTCGGGACATATTTCTAAACGTTATCTAGTTAAAAGTGACAGCATATATAAGTCCCACCGCTGGGCAAAGGCCTCCTCTGTAAAGAGATTACATCTTAGAAATATTTTTGTTACTACTTCGAAAATATGCAGGTTTCCTCACGATGTTTTCCTTCACCGCTGAGCACTTAAAATTAACAATTTCATTGATCGAATTCAGGTCGCTCGAGTATATGGAATTAAAAGCGAGTGCCCGGACAATGAGCTAACCACATACTGTTATACATAAACCTACCCATAGCAAGATTGGATGAAACCGCTCGCTCTTAACGTTAAACTTTTACCTAAACGTGGGATACGTCGAATTCTATTTAGCGTGGATATTTTGTAGATTCTCTGGCCTCAACAGGAAAACAATTACCTATATACTTAATTTATTTATATCGTTGTAAGTTAAAGATTTAGCATAAACGTTTTTAACGCTAGTTATAGGCCAAGTTAATTTGTTTAATGTAGTTTTCTTAAGTTTGTGTTATTATAGTTAAATTGTATTATTGTTCCTTTTCTGTTCGATTCACATGCGCGTTGTGCCGACATATAGAAGAATGCACTTTTGTGTTTCGAACAATTGGAAGCTTATGTGAACTTTCCATTAAAAGCAAAGGTTGCATTCAGTTTTGTAGACCTAATAAAGAAAAAAAAAAAGACTTCCTTCACAGCAATACTCGCCGT